CCGAGATTAAAATTTCATAGGCCTATTGAAGATCACCAGGATTATAGTTCCGATCTGAAAATACAGTGAATAATGAGAATGAATGGAATAAAAAAGATAGTCTAAAGAGTAACATTAGGGTAAACGTCTTAATTACGATTACATAAAATCAAAATGTATATAAAAGATAGTGACGATGGAAGATGATAAGCATAATGATTGTGTTGGATTAATAATTGCTTCTGTTATGAGGATGACATCAGTATCAATAGCAATAATTATGAGCATGATAACATAGCAAGAGAATCACGATAGTAATGGTGATATTTATTATCATTGTATCAATTATCACTCATTAACATTGTTGTTTGTTGTTGTTGTTGTTGCTATTATTATTACCATCATCATTATTATTACTATCACTATCCGCATCATTATTATAATAATCATAATAATAACAATTCTAATCACTGTCATTATTTTTCACTTTTAATACAACCACAACAACAATAATGAAATCATTAATCATCATCTTCATCACCATCACCATCATTAATGTCATTGTTCTTACCATTATTATGCAGACGATGGAAACTATTAATGACAATGATGATAATACTTCTCATGGCAATAAAAAGGGGGGGGGTATAACAAATAAAGTCCTAACAAGAAAATGATAATGATAAGAAGAAAAACAAAGAAGGAAAAAGAAAAGAAAAGAAAAAGAAAGAAGAAAAAGAAGAAGGAGAAGAAAGAAAAATGGAAAAAGAAAGGAAAGAAAAAGAAAGAAGGAAAAAGAAAGAAAAAGACAAAGAAGAAGAAAGAAAAAGGCAAAGAAGAAGAAAGAAAAATATAAACAATAATAAAAAGAAAGAAAATAAGAAAAGGAAAAATTAAAAGTCAAAAAGAAAAGGAAAACGAAAAAGACAAAAAGAAAGCCGAGCCGCGCTTCAACTCAGGCAACCCAAGAGAGAGGCTTCAGAGGCGAGTCAACAGAAGGGAAGGGGAGAAGGAGAAGGAGAGGAGAAGAGAAGGAGAAGGAGAAGGAGAAGGAGAAGGAGAAGGAGAAGGTGAAGGAGAAGGAGAAGGAGGGGGAGGGGGAGTGGAAGAGGTGGATGTGGATGTGGATGAACTTGAAACTGAAATTGAAATTGAGGGGAAAGGAGGGAGGGGAGGAGGAGGAGGAGGAGGAGGAGGAGGAGGAGGAGGAGGAGGAGAGGAGGAGGAGGAGGAGGAGGAGGAGGAGGAGGAGGAGGAAGAGGGAGGAGGAGAGGAGGAAGGGAAGAGGAAGAGGAAGAGGAAGAGGAAGAGGAAAGGAAGAGGAAGAAGAAGAGGAGGAGGAGGAGAGAGAGAAGAAGAAGAGAAAAGAAGAAGAGAAGAAGAAAAAGAAGAAGGAGAAGGAGAAGGAGAAGAAGAAGAAGAAGAAAAAAGAAGAAAAAGGGGGAGGAGGAGGAAAGGGAAAAGAAGACAGAGACGGAGAAGGAGAAGACGTAGAACAAAAAAAGAAAGAAAAAGAAGGGGGAGGAGGAGGAAAAGGAAAAGAAGTAAAACGAGAGAGAGAGAGAGAGAGAGAGAGAGAGAGAGAGAGAGAGAGAGAGAGAGAGAGAGAGAGAGAGAGAGAGAGAGAGAGAGAGAGAGAGAGAGAAGAGAGAGAGAGAGAGAGAGAGAGAGAGAGAGAAGAGGAGAGAGAGAGAGAGAGAGAGAGAGAGAGAGAGAGAGAGAGAGAGAGAGAGAGAGAGAGAGAGAGAGAGAGAGAGAGAGAAAGAACAAGAAGAAAAAGAACAAGGAGGAACCAGAGGAGGAGGTCAACCTCCAGCGACCTTTCCTCAGAGAGCCCAAACGTCTCAGGTTTAATATGACACTTTCTTTCCCTCTTCTTAAGCTCCGCCTTGTGAGGGAATCTGCTCCGTGTGGGAAAAATCAGCTCTTCGCATTTGCATATAATCTTTATCTCCATATCTGTTTCTTTTTATTTGTCTACCTACCTACCTACCTCTCAATCTATCTGTCTATCTGCATTTATTTATCTTCATATTCATTTCTTTATTTTTTTATCTATCTTTTTTATATTTACTTTGCAATGTTATTTATGTGTTTGTATGTCGCTATAATCACGTTTCCCCATTTTGCCTTCGGATCTGCATTGGCTATAGACGTCGATTATTGGGAAGCCACGAAACCCTACTTAAAGGGATCGAGTAACAACAAAAACAAAAGAGCATCAAGGAGAATGGAATTCAATCCGGATGAAACAATTTTGTTAAAAGGACGACGCTGCGAGGTTAGCTCTGGGAATAACGGAATCCAACTCTCGGATTCTACTTTATTTCGTGATTTATTCTTTCGTTTATTTATGTTATACTTTGTTTATCATCTTCGTTCTTTCGTTTATTCATTCTTTCATTTATTTCCATTCCATTCCTTTGTTTATTCATTAATCTATTTGTTTCTGCTTCATTTATTTGTCCTATTTATCGATTTGTTGCTGTTTCACTTATTTGTTTAATTACTTATCTAAATA